GACATTAAACTTGGTAGGGGAACAGAGATTTTAATCTAGCAAATATCATAGGCAGAGAAAACCAATATATTTGGAAAGCACATGGTTATCCTGGGGGAAGCAGGAGCTGATGGCTGGCTGCCCGTGGGGACACCCTGCAGCTCTGCTGGGCTTGCTCAGGTGACAGGGTGGCAGTAGAAAGGTCGGGGCACACAGAAGTGCAGGCAGGGGTTGAAGCAAGGAAGCCAACTCTGTTTTTGCATCATGGCTTACACTGCATATCCAGAGTACCCCTGCCCAGGGAGGGACATGTGGCATCCCCATCCCATTACAGGTGGGGAGAGCGAAGCCCCCCATGCACAAACAGCCCTTCCCCAAGGCTCTGAGCAGCTCTGTGACAGATCAAGTGCAGTGCCCAGGCTCTCACTATCCATCCCAGTGTCACACAAACCTGCACATCCCCCTCTGCAAAGGAAAACATGGGCTTGGGATTGTTTTGGCTTTTACAAAGAGGTGGACTAAGGTTGGAGAAGTGGCCTCAGCCTGAAGGGAAAAGCTCCCCAAAAAGCAAAAAGGTTTTGCTGATGGTATTTTCTTCATGTAGCAATACAAAGTGAGTGCAGTGGGTCTGTCCAGATGTTAACAAGTGGATAAATCACATGGAGGAAGCCAGTGGGGAGAGAGACTATGTAGGCAGCAGTTATTGCAGAGAGCAAATCTGCACACCTTGGAAAATCAGCGACTCCATGCCATGTGCCATCACTATAGCTGTCCCTGCACACAAATCACATCACAAATAGAAAACAAACATCAGAAACTCATCCTTGAGGAAGTAAAAAATGAGACTCTTAATTGGGCTTCAGAAGATACCCCTCCTGTGCAAATAATCCAGGCGCCCACCAGCATCACACCTCCTGGGCATCCTGGCTCAGCGCTTCCCTTCTCCTGCTCTGCCCTGGTTGCTGCCCCCCAGCCTGAGCACAAAGTTTCCTGCAGTGCTGCTGGGACTGAGCAGTGAAGAAGTGGTGTTGGGGCTGCAGAAACAGGTCCACACTCCAGGGCTGGGGGGGCACAAATTGCTCCAAACACGTTGTGATCCCAAGTAATAGGCAGGAGCCAGCACATCTGTGCAAATATTTGCTTTTGCTTGTCAAAACTTTGGACAGAGTTACATTTCTTCCTCTATTTATTGGTTTCATCTGTCTTGAAACACAAACTGCAAAAATTGTGAGCAGATTGACATCTTCTTCTGACTCCACTGGGGCTGTGCCTGCTCTGTGACAGTTCTCTGCTGGCTGAACTGACACTCCTGGAGGGAGCAAGGCAGGTATTCCTGTGCCACTCACAACCCACCTCACAGCAGTAATTGTTGCAGGGAAATGACTGGGGCCTCTGTGGATAGCTATGATCCCTCACACCTGAAGCAGTGAGCCTGGAGGCTGTCTGTCTGTCTGTCTGTCAGGAGGCAGCAGCCATGAGGCAGCATTTCTCCCTGTGCATGTTCCCCTCCTCTTCCTCCCAGTCCAGATGTTGGGTCCCACAGATTATGAAGTTCTTGTGTGTTTTGGCAGGGTCAGCATCTACCCTTGCACGACTGTGCATCCATGCACGCGGTGGCCTCCTTGCATACCCCACATCCCTGCTCTCCCATGTGGTGCTTCAAGAACACTGAGAATTGGTGGCACCAACATCAAATACTAAATCAATACCAAATATTCATGTAGGGTTCCATACCAATGTAGTAGTCGTCCTGCTAAGTTATTACAATGGCTTGGGAGAAAACTCCCCAAGCATAAAAATGCCTTTGTCATAGATACTTACTAATATTTGCAGGTGACCCAACAGAAGAAATGAACAATTAAAGCCCTGCTGTCACAGCATTACAGAGCAGTTACATCTACTGTGCAAACTGTGTAATTCCCATTCATATTTCAGTCACTGCTCACAATTAAATTGCATTTCTCTTTCTTGTAACAGCTAATATATGCACATCAATCAATTCTGCTTGTTTATGTTGCAGCACAAGGCTACCCAGTCACTTGCTCAGTTTACTGTAGAACAAGCCAGGCATTAACATCCTCATCACCTCAAACCTTCGAATTTTATATGATCAACTCAACATAATATTTCACTGTTGAGATGCCTCCTGGAACCAGGCCCCTCCCCTTACTCAATCCACCAGCCTGTTGTTCTCCCCAGGTTACCACTGCAAACACTGACACAGCCTGGGGTTTTCCAACCCACTCCAAGATTGAAGACATCCCACTTCCACTCATTTCAGCTCTGCCAGACAGTTGAGAGTAACTCCAGGATGCTGTGAGCCTGAATACCTAACACACAGTGTCTAGCACCTTGGTCTCTCTAGGTGTGGGAGCTAAAATTACAAGTTTCAGGCAAATTACAGTCTTTTTGTAACAGATTATTAGTTCACAATATTTGCGGAATCCTTTGGGTCTGCACTTTCTTCCTGCTGGCACGATTTTCTAAAAAATCCCTACTTTCACGTATATTAAGCACACGGCCAGCCAAGCCATCCCTCTAGAATTGGCCTGGGAGCACGGAAGCTCTTCTCCACACCTCCAGCTCAGGGGAGCAGGCAGCCACAGGGGAAGGTGAAGGAATCAAGAGGAATTAATGGTAACAGCAGTAACCAGAGACAGTAACCAGTGTTGCAAGTGGAGCCTACATATTCTAATCCTGAGCCTCCTCATGAGCAGCATGGAAGCCAGCACTGCTCTGTAGCTCAGGAGAAGAAAAACCAGCAGCACTGGAAGCTGAACCCAGAGTGTTACCAATCCAAACAGAAACTAGAGGAGCAGCCCATATTTAAAATGAACTACTAAGAGAGAGTGGTCATTATGGAGCATCTTTCCCAGCATTTCCAACACAAACCATAACACATTTACCTGTGGTTAAAGGGCCCAGCACTGCTGGGGAAAATGTTCCTCAGGGCTGTGAACTTATGGGCCACGAAGAGGGGCAAATTCTTTGGCTCCCCAGGGTGCCTTCCTCTGCTGGCAAGTCACAGGTCACACAGCAGCCAACATCATTACTGGTTCAAAAGTTAGAGAGACTTTGAACTTTCACTCATTATTAAGAAAAACATTAACTGTTTTGAGCCTATTCTGCACTATTGTTAATTGTATAAGCACTGTTTAGGGCTCTCCCTGAGCTCTCAAACTCAAACTTCTATCAAAATGCAGTTATCCTGGCAGCTTGCACCCTTTGTAAATCCAGACAAGGGTGGACCAAGTGATAACACTTATCCAAAAATATTCCTATGGGTTGAGTTGGGTTACTGACATGAAATGGACTGCTCCTCCACTGAAGGATGCTGCTATGGGGCACAGATGGGGATAAAATATTTTTCTGAGATCTCAGCAAGCACATCTACAATCCTCACCTGTCCTGAGCCAGACTTGCTAAGAAAATAAAATCCTTACAGTGGTAGAGCCTCTGGAATAACAGATATAAGAAGGGGAAAGTAGTTACTGCACAATTGCAGCTGGAAAGATGACTGAGTGTGTGAGAGGAACAGCTTTCCAGGTACCCAAGTCAGTGTAGAAGGGGCAGGAGGTGCTCCAGGCACTGGAGCAGAGATTCCCCTGCAGCACATGGTGAAGATCACTGAGAAGCAGCTGTGCCCCTGGAGCCCATGGATGTCCACGGGGGATCAGAGATCCACCTGCAGCCTGTGAAGAACCCCATGCCAGAGCAGGTGGATGCTTGAAGGAGGCAGTGACCCTGCAGGAAGCCTGTGCTGGAGCAGACTTCTGGCAGGACCTGTGGCACCACAGAGAGAGGAGCCCACGCTGGAGCAGCTTTGTCAGCAGGACTGTTCCCAAAGGTCTGCACCCTTTGGGAGGGATACACACTGGTGAAATTCATGGAGGACTGTCTCCTCTGGGAGGGATCCCGTGCTGGAGCTTTGGAAGAGTGTGAGGAGTCCTCCTCAAGGGATAAGACTGTGTGATGATCTAACCACATTCTCCATTCCCTGTCTCCCTGCGCCTTTGGGGGGAGGAGGGAGAGAAAACCACAAGTGAAGTTAAGCCCAGAGAGAAGAGAGGGGTGGGGGGAAGGTGTTTTTAAGATTTGGTTTATTTCTCATTATTCTATTGTGATCTGACTGCTAATAAATAAACTAATTTCCCCAAAAGTCTGTTTTGCCTGTGATGGTAAATGGTGAGTGATCTCTCCTGTCCTTATCTCAACTCGAGCTCTTGGTTATATTTTCTCTGCCCTGCCCAGATGAGGAGGGCAATGACAGAGTGGCTTTGTTGAGCACGTGGCATCCAGCCACGATCAACCCCTCACACAGAGAAACATCTACCAAAGCACTGGGATTGCAGTGAGCAATTCACACTGACTCAGAAAAACAATCAATGAGGTTTAAAACAAGAGGTTCACTCTTCTCCTGTGACTAAGGAGAGCCTGCATCTGGCAGCACTGACAATTATTTTGAACTGTTTGATGCTTTCTGGAACAGAGGCAGAATAGGTTATAGTCTGAACACTGCCTGAAGTGCTTCTCCATCTTAAAACAGTCAGGACAGTGAAAGGATTAGAAATCTCTGTCACTAGGGACAGTGCCTGAGCTGTGCAATTTTAATCTTAATATAGCTACAGTAAATTGCAGAAACAGAGCTCTGAAGAGCCATCCAAGCTTGCAGTTCTGCCATGACAATGCAACTCCAATCAGACTCTTGGCAAGCGATCCTTGGTTTCAGAAGACAATAGGTAGCAGCAGCTACTGGATACTGAAACTATTCCAGGCACTAAAACATAGTAAAAAGAAGTTGGATAGTTAATACCATTCATCCAAAAAACAGTAAGAGGATGATGCCAGTGGATCTGAACATGCTGTTTAGACTGATTTAGTAATCCCCATGTAGGTTAGCTCCATTTCCACAAAGAGTCTGCTTCAAGACAGAAAAGATCATTTAGTAGCTGATACAGGTAATGAGCTAAATCCATTTTCAGTTACTCAGTAAATATATCCATTGCTCTGAAAACATAAAAGCAGGGAACAACTCGTTTTATTTTACTGCACAGACACACTCCTGAGTTAAAGGTCTTAGTGGCGTATACTCTCTGCAAAAGGAGAGCAGGCAGAACGAACAGATTCGTGTCTGAAAAGTAGCGCTCAGTTCAGGGTTTATTTGAGTGAGCTTACAGCGTTGGTGTCACCCCAGGGCCACAGAGAAGAGCCCCACACTGGAGCAGAGGGTGCTTGATTCAGACTCCTGCAGACACAGAATCCTGCACACCAGGCTCCTCCAACACGTGCACCCACCCCCTGTGATAAAGCTGCCACAACAGGAAATCATTCGCCCCCTGAAAAAAATTCCTGTCGCAGACAGCGTATGCTCGTGTTTCCATTCACAGCAGTGACTGGCTTAGTTACAAACAGGCAAACCACCATCCCCAGACAGGATCACTTAAAATAAACCTATGTAAACACATACCCTTATATAACTTATATATATATGTTATATATATAAGTTTTATTTGTGTGTACATAGATATAAATATGCACGCACACACACACACGAACACACCCCCGTAACAATAAAGCATGGAACACACACACACACAGAAATATTGCAAATGATGCTGAACTGAAATCTAAGAATATAATTAAGAAATTATTAGCAGGTTTAAAAATTGATTTAAAAAACTATTCAAAGTGTCTTTAATATTTATGTTCAAGTAAGGGCCAGAATGACCACAGATTAGTATTGATAAAAAGAGCTGGCATTAATTTCCCATATTATGCCAGAACTCATGAGTTATTTCTCATTGTCATTTCGCTATCAGCACACCTCATCAACTAGAAAGATTTTTTTTTTAGGAAACAGTGGTTTCTCAAGACTTGGGTTACAAGCAATATTGTTTAGGCACCCTCAATCATTAACTATTTCTAAAATCCACACACACCTTAGAGTATCAGAAGAGAACTAGCAGGACTCAGACAGCCACATCCACAGTATTCATGTCACAAACAGGTCTTCACAGTAAAAAAGGCAGTACTGGAGACAGGGGATGGAAAGGTGACACAGTGGTGGCTTTTAGAACAACATTTAGCAAGAGTGACTCTCCAGTACACCACAAATGTTCCATATTCAGGAGATATGGAACCACAGTGGTATTTCAGAGATGACTGTGGGTGCAAGTTGGGATTCGGTGGCAGCTAAAGCTATTGTTTACTTGTGCTCCAGGGTGATTACAAACACCTCTAACAACACTGCAAGGATTATTTGGGATATTTAGTATGGCTAAAAACCCTGGTACCAGTGTCTTATATCAGAAATCACTTTATTAGAATGTAAATGTAGTGTACTGTTTAATGGACATTCAATATATAAATGACTAGTGACTTAGAAGAGATCTTAAAGAAAAGATTTTTTTTCCTTTCTCTTTTTCCTTTTGTTAAGATTATTCCTTATTTCTATTCTGATAGAAGACTCCAAAGATTACTGGTACCCTGGTGCATATAACCGTAAGTCAGCACACAGGCACACACACACACACACAAAACGTACACCTCACTGCAACACATCGACAGCCCCTTAAATAGAGAGCCCCAGCTCTGGCACTGGGACCTGAACAGCAGATATATTCTCTTTGTGCATTTTGGCATCATTATCACCACTCAAGTTCCACATTTACAGCAAATCAAGGTGGTCTTGAACATAAGAACAACCCGTCCCTCACCCTCTCTAAATAAAGCCATGATTAAGTCTTGTAATTTCTTTGTGTTTCTGCTGTCCAGCTGTGCAAATCCAGGCAGATGTGCAGACTGCAAAGCTGACTTCCAGTCTCTTCCAACCCCTCACCAGTCTGGCGTTATCACACAGAGACGACAACGTCGAGATAGAGTCTGTCGTAGGATTCGCGGAAGCACAGGATGAGGAGCAGGCTGAGCAGACACGATCCTGGCAGGCACCAGTTGAACCAGGAAAACTCTGTAAAGCAGAACAGAGACCCAACCTCAATTATCAAACATGTTCTGTGTTTAAAGTGACCAAAACTTGGATTGATGGCTGTTTTGAAGGAAATTGCTGTGTTCTGAACAAAATCCTGACAGCCCTTGACTGATCAATGGTTGACAAGGTCTACGAGACTTCTCCATGGATGCCTCAAGTTATATATATATATTTATAGCCAATGCCTCCAGCTAATGTTAATCCTCCTTATGCAACCTGCCAATGAAGAGAACAGGGAAAAAAAAATAAAATCTATCATTGCTAATGGAGAATAAACCACTTCCAAAGATTCTACTCATTAGTTCTTTGATTTCTATGGATTGAGAACTAAAACAAATTAAAAGTGTAGGAAAAAGCTGGATTTGATTTTGAATCAAACTTGCTACATCGTATAAGGAGGGAAAAGCAATTCCTCAGAAGAAACCTGTGCTTAGTACAATCAATTCAACTTAAAACTAGTTGCAAAAACAACTCCTCAGAAGCCTCTTTTTAGCTGTTAGATGTAATGTACTGCTCTTAAAAGGTTGTGTTCCATATTCAAGAAATCCTATCATCTGATATTTGCCTACTAATTAACAGTTTTATTCAATTTTTTTCAAACTAAGTGCACCACAATTTCCTTTTTTAAAAAGAATCTGTCAATTTACTGAAGAAATATTAATTTCACTGGAGATATTGTTCTATTTATTTTTTAAAATTTTCCTTTATTATTATTACTGATTTAATTTTACAGAACCTAAACTCTCCCTCAAGGTCTCTTAATCAAAATCAAGGCTTCAGCACTGCTACATTCTTAAATCTGTAATTTATATTGCTAAAAGAAAAATCATCATTTATATTACACAATGCAAACAACAAAAGTCAGAAAGTCTAAAAAAATCAACTTTCCAAAACCAATAACCTTCAACAACTCCTTCCCTGATCCACCATAAACCCATAGGGATTTGTTTAGGTAGTAATGTTATTAAAACCAAAATAAAATCTTTCTAGGCTTGGAGAAGACTGTGTTATGTGTTGCCAGAAGTCAATAGTCAGATGCTTTGCTATTATTTTCCGTATAATATTCTTGTTTAATTGGATTAAACAGACTTTAACTCAAAATTTCTAACACACCAAATTTAACTTGTGAATCTTTTTTAATCCAGAATTTGTGACAGCTCTGGCGATGCAGCGAACACATCGATCGCATGAAGCCAAAGGTCAGTTTGCTTTTGTTTTTCCCTCAGAAGTCCCTGCAGAAAAGCCAAAGGAAAACACATCCAGAGGCTACAGCTTTCGGGTGCAGGACACAGCACTAGCAGGGAGGCTGAGCTTTAGGAAGGTTTACATCTCCACTGTGGTAGATGAACCAAAATCTTGAGGGCACTGGAAAACTTCCAGGCTTTGGGTCTTTCACAGCGTTTGCAATATCAGAGGAGAAGAGAAATCAGAATTAAAACTACTGAAAGATTATTTGGCCTAAAAGGAAAGACCAAAGGAACAAGATGAATTTGACTGAGTTTTGATTTATCTGTAAGCTTCTCAAATGCCATTAGAGGATGTATTTGAATCAAATGAAAGCAAATGATTAAGATCATGATCAACCCCTTAAAGGATTTTTTTTAGTCAGAGGAGCCAACAGCACCCACTGGCACTGACCCCCTCAGTGACCACATACTCTCTTGTACTTTCAATCAAAGAATGGAATGTCCTAAGCACAAATTACTTTTTTTTTTTTTACTTTTTTTGTTTTCTCCTTTGAAGAAATAGGGAAAATATTCCAAGTATATGGATATACCAATTTCAGGTTTGTCCTTACCTGCATTTACTGATACCTGCTAGGGAAAGAAATACTAGAGACCAAAAATGGCCCCAAATACCCTATTTATGAGGGAACGAGTTCACCTAATCATAATTCTTCCATCAGAAGTGAGACACTGTATTCCCATCCTCAGTTATTAAGTAATGCCAAACGCTGGATTGCTACTCTGAAAAATGCTGAAAAAATTATCAGAATATTCTGTGTCATCTTTCCAGTTCAGGTATGAATGTCAGAAACTATAATTCACACCAATTAATATTTAAAAAATTAATATTAAAAGCATATTTTAAAATGTAAAGACTAACTCTCATATCACCCGAGGCTAACCTGGTTAGCATTCAGATTTTACAATGATGCAGTTGAACAACAGTATTAAAAAAAAATAAAATTCTCTCCGTGTTCACAGACCACAATTTGGAACAGTGTTGTCATCCTACTTTGTAATTCCATGGCAGAAAGATACAAACTATGCTGAAAAACGGCCCCAGGTTGTAACCTTGATAATTTCTAGCAGAATTCATTCTGAAATTTGTCAGTCTCCTCTTGGTGATAAAACACAACATTTTAAGAAGTAAATGCTCTCATGATAATACATAAAAGCTCATATTTGCTAATGGTTTACAAGTCTTGCATCATGATGCAAACATTTACCACAACGACAAAAGACAAACCAAAAATTTGCATCTTTGAAAGACATTAATAAAGACCACTTCCCTTTGAAAGCAAGTTGGGTTCTTATTTTACAGCTTAGAGTAATAATATGTATTTTAGCCTACTAAATAGCAAGTTGTAAGTTTTAATTACGAGTTACAAGGAAGCCAATACTTGAGAGATGAGAAAGTGTGAAGAAGTTGATGAGAACATCAAGCAAAACACTGATGTGCTGGATTAGGCCACAGGATTGTCTAAAGGAATGGCTATTTCAACTTTGAGCAGTGTTGAAGAGTTGCTCTCTCCTCTGCAATGGTACATCCAACCCACTGAACAGAGCTGACCATAAATGGGGCATTTCTGCTCTGCCCCTCCTGGGCAATACAATTTTACCCAGAAGTACAAGATTGCATTAGCTTTACTGTGGTTTTGAACACCCACAGATATAACCATTATTAATGGTCACATTACCAGGCCTTTAAAAAATATGATGACAATGTGTACCTTGATGTACCTGGCTACAGCAAATTTAAGTGGAATGTATCCTGCATCTAAGTAATTTCATTTTTATTAGCATGCACATAGGAAAGAACAATTAAAATTCTCCTTCCTTGCTGCCCCATTGGGGGATTCAAACATTTGTTTATTAGAGAAATTGTATGAGCAAATCCTCCGTTTTACTGACAAAGGTATGTCTTACTGGAGAATTACATTTTCAAAGTGGCTTATATTTCTTACCTGTATGGTAAAATGTGAGGAAAAACAAAAGCACTCCCATAAACACATTACTCAAAAAGGTGACAACTCCACAGCTAATTCCTTCCGGAACAGGGTAGACTGTCTCCACAAAGAGCTCAAAGAATATTGGTACGCTGCTGTTGAGGAATATACCCAACAAAATGCAGGATGTGTACAGCGTAGCTATAACACAAACAAAAACAGTTATTAATTTCATGCTGGTATTTTTCCCCCCTATTCAGAGCTGCCAAGAATACTAATATTTGAATAACCAAAAAAACGCATAAACTTATTTTTATCCTCTGTGTATCATAAAGCATATCACATCCCACTAGCTTTAGGAAGAATGCATGCATTGATTTGGAAAAAAATATCAGAAATACTGATTTATTTATTTATTTATTTATTTAAACAGAACCCAGGAAGATACATGCAGTGATTTGGAATTCACTTGTAAGTAAAACAAACAACAAAATTATGAATGCAGAGCATCACCTACAGTTTGATTTACCTCTGAAACAAACAGAAAATATTGTCCTCCAAACAATTAGGACAGGGAGCAATTAATGCACCAAATTGGAAATGGACGTGGATTAACCTTTTGACTTAGCTCTAAAGGTCAAAACTAATTCTGCTTCCATTTTACAAATAAATACTAATGATCTACCAGATATCAAGACATTAGTATTCAGCACAGCCTGAGCTGCAACATGTTGAATCCCTTCTGGCTGCAAAAGGAAATGAAGGGCACCCAGCGCCTGACAGGAACGGGATAGATTTGATAACGCAGATTATTCACTGCTGTACAACAAATTGTTTTTCTTGGACAAATCAACAGAAGAATATAGACATTTCCTCAGTAGCCTCGACTGTTTTGTTCTACAATTTCTAACACTGCCAAATACTTTACAGTGCTTAACAGAGAAGCCCATATTATCGTTTAATAAATCTATTATGACTATTTCTGGGGAAAAAAAGAAAAAAGGAAAACTGAAAACTTCAGGAAAATTTAGTACCAATTTAGAAATTTAAATAAGTCTTTCCTTAGTGCTGTTTTGGGATGGGAAAGATTTCCTGGCCTGCAAACTCAACAACTCAAGGTTACTGATCAAGCAAAAAGAATAAAGAAATTATTTGGTTTGAAAAAAAACGAGAAAACTCTGGAATAATTTCTGAAGTTTCCACCAAAATTATAAGAAAACGTAAAGAAAAAATTTTCAGATACAAAAGTATTACAAAGTCACAGAGAAATTATTTATAGTATATTTTCACTTCACTATGGTACAAAATCCTTAGACAATTTTTTTTTCATATAGGTATATATAGTTATATTTCAGTTTAATTTACACTCTTCTGTCTTGGAAAGGGGAGAACTGAAACAGCTTTGCTTCATCTTCTGTTAAGCATTGCTCAAGCTTTCAATTGAGAAACTGTTAGGAAGCAGGAAGCTTCCACCTTCAAAAAATAAATAAAAAAAATCACTGTTTCTTAAAATGTGAAGAATCATGGGAAAGAGATAAAGGCATTAAAAAGCAGAAAGGGCTGTCTATCAGATTCTCTATTTGATATGGTTTGTTTCCAAGGCACAAAGAAATATTTCTTTCTCTACAAAGGATTTCTCTAGACAAGAAAAGGGAGGGAGAGCTGGCCCCTGCTTTTTAAAATATACCACAATACTCTGAGCTTTTAAGAAAAAACAAACAAAAAACCACCAGCCTCCAAAAAACCAACCACCCCTCCCAAAAAAACCATGGTAACTTTCCCAACTCTTAAATTCTCTTATCATAAACTGCAGAATAAACCAAAGAAATCAATGCAAGGTATGTCCAGGAGTTGTCAGAGAGGAAGAAAAAAAACCAAACCAGTATTAGGATGTTCTTCCTAATGGGCTCTTCCACCTAACACAGTAAGAACTGACTTCCTAGTTAAAAGATCCATAGATTTTTACTGCAAGTCCTTGCCAGTATTTAAAATTTCATGAGCCACTCTTTGAACTCCCGCTTACCTCAAACACCACTGCATGTTGCTCTAACTGTCTCTAACTGCTATCAGGGGTAGCCAGAAAATCCAAACATACTCGGCTATTTGAAATTTTTGTACTTGCTTAAGAAACCAACACATAAACAAAATATAAGAATCTCTTAAGACAAATGAACATCTGTCCCTTATTACACTCAGTTGAAGATAACTATAGGTAACTACTTGCTATACTTCTAGAGAACATTTCAGAACTTTCCCCAAAGAAGAGGTCAGCCAGCTGTAATTCTGTATCAGAAACTCAAACAGCAGAAATAGCCATAAAGCTGCTGAAAGCCACAGCAGCACCATGAAAAGTGGAGCTGTGTACAGAATGTCTGAGGCAACACCTCTCCAGGAGGGCTGAATCATCTGCCATAAAGACCAACACCCAGGAAAGGGGAATCACATGCCTCTGATTAAAGGCAGTCCATAGATGTATAATTTCTAGAAACTCAAGAGTCAATGAGATTAAGTAAAAAATATCCATCAAAGATTAGCAGCCATTTAAAAGATTATGACTTCAAATTTTAGTTAACCTAGTAGGTGCCAAAGTTTTCATAAAACAAACAGGAGACTTCAAAATAGACCTGTAGGTTTAAAATATGCTAGTTGAACTACATCATTACTCATCACTTACTAAAATGTGTTAAGAGAACCAGACCATAAGCGAACAAGTGGAATAACTCTGTATTTTAGAAACTACACCCTCACATTTCCTTGTCATGACACTCAGCAGCACCCACCAGCACACACCTCACACTTCCATACTATTAGGAGCAAAGCAGCTTTAGCATGATCCTTTGGTTGCCCCAGAGTGTTACCTGCCTTGTGTGTGCACACCAAAAACTGCCAGCTGAATACCAATGACAACACCTCAGCTGCAACCACAGGTAATACTGAGGAAACAAGGTCTATCCATAGGTACACTCACCTTTGGAATTAAAAAGCAGAAATGTCATGGCAACAGGACAGACAGAATACAGCATCCAGAAGATGCCAATTTAAGTTCTAACATCTAATGGAAATGACAGCTTTTAACTGGTAAGCCACAAAAAGAAGCTCTGAAAGTGGAGGAGATGTGCACATCTGAAAGCCTTCCTTAATGGGTACATATTGTAGTGATGGGAAACTGTTTTTTATTTCATGTATCTGTAAATCACCCGGGGTCGTCCTCAGTGATATACAAATAAGCTTATTTCATTCACTTGGCAACTAAGGCACAAATCCAACCAGTCAACTAAACAAAAACTCGAAGAGAAGATATGCAGTTTCAGAAAAATAAGTAACAGAAAGAAGTAAAGTAAGAGTTCAGAAGTGTTTTTTGCTTTTTATTTCACAGGCTAAATAGCATATCTCACATTCCAGCTCACGGGCAACAAGATAGCAGGGAGAACACTACCTATTAACGGAGACCATTTGCTTTCCATTACAGTGACCTTGCATTGAATGAACACAAACAATTACCATGATTTTATACTGCAGAAGAACAGCTGCTAAAGTTACAGCAAATGTTCTTTCAATTAAGACAATCTTAATGACAGTCATCAAAAATGAATATGAAAGCAATGACAAAAAAAAAAAGAAAAAGAAAAAAAAAATAGATGATTTACCAAGAAACTAACATTATGTCCTAAGAACTACCAACTAGCCTGGATAGGCATACAGCAGGGAAGTATGTCATGCTATTAGTATAAAAAAAGATCACTTTTTCTTAGGAAAAGGAATTAAATGCCTATGAAGCTATGTGCAAAGTCGTATATCCAAGACAGTGGCAGCTATGGACATCAACAATGGAACTGGGCTAGGTTTCCTAAAACATGACATTAATTGAAATAATTTAGAACATATTTATGTGCATTAAGCAGCTATTTCTCAGGCTAGTCACTGCAAAAAGATCAGGAAAAGGAAAACACCCATCCCAAGCACAGCTGCTTCAGAGAACTGGCCAGGAACTGCTGCAGCATGAGGCTCAAGCTATGCTTCATCTTGTCATGTTCATGTTTGAGGTATGAGGCAATCCATGCTATTCCCTCAGCACTCATTCTCCTGGCTAGGAAGGAAGCAAGGAATAAAATGTGCCTTGATAATACAATTAGAGATGTTACTAATTAGATGAATCAATGTACTAAGTTGGGACTGATGATGATACAGTGGCTTAGCACAAAGAGAAGAAAAAGTGGTAAGAAGCCAAGAAGGAATCTTCCTTCTTATCTCCTACAGGCCTTCAGCTACTGGATGGCAAATACATGCCTGTATCCCAGAAAAAGACTTTCTTTTCTCCCAGCCACAAGCTGTGGCAAAAGCTTTATACCGATAAAAAAATAATCAAGGAAAAAATTAGGAATTCAAATAGGGAAGTAATTTAAATGACAGAACTCACTTGGTGTCCCCAGAGGAGCTTGCAACACAGCAGGAGACTCAAGTATCTCTGACATTCAAACAATTTCCCACAATATTCCAGGATGTTCTGCAACAGGTTTAGCAATTTACTCTTAAAGTATACCATCACTAAATGTATAACTACAGAGCCTGATCCAAATCCGAATGAAATTGATGGAAGGACCTCCAGTGATGTGACAACTTCTTATCAACCACTGGCACATGTATCTTGGCTGATTTTTAACAAAGACTATGAAATACTACCATTTAAAAAAAAAAGTTTTCAGATAAATTTACACAGGCAATGCTGCATCAACTGCAAGCAGGTGGTGCAGTACTTTCTTCCAAAGTCCTCTGCCAGAATCTCCTGAACTCTGTACATTTTGTAACAGTTCTCTTCTGAGACACACTGAGCCAAGACTCACACAAATTTTATGTGGATAAACAGGAAAGTAAATACAACAGAATATGTTCTCTTGGGTGCAGCATACAATTTAAAGCAAAACCTATGAAGGTTTAGGGCACTCTGTTAATAACCATTATAACTATATTCCAAATATCAAAGTGAAAGGATAATGCCTCATGTGGATGCAGTCTGTGTTGACTTTAGTGCTTCAGTATCCCCATGAATGATCTGAACAATTCAAAGTTAGTTCTTACCAAAATCTGAAGTCTGTTAAAGTAGAATAAAACCTCCCTATAATCTAATTCTGGCCACTGGCCATGGTAAGAAAAGTCATGGAAGAAGTCCCCCTTAATTTTTCCATGAGAAATGTGACTCCCTC